GGATGTAACTGGGACCCTGTGTACATAATTTCGCTCCACCACATGTACCACATGAGGTGCGAATGACAATAAAGAAACTCTGACTCTGACTCTAAATGTAAGAATACAAAGTCAATGGATTGGAATGGAATTAATATAACACTTATTAAAAAATAATTGATGATATTGCAGACCCGCTGACCTACATCTGTAACTTGTCATTCATAACTGGATCATTTCCAAATACAATGAAAATTGCAAAAGTTACTCCTTTATTAAATCTGGTGATAAACATACCTTTAATAATTAAAGGCCTGTATCCCTGCTTTGTCAGTTTTCTAAAATACTAGAAAAAGTGTTCTGTAAAAAGTTGGAACATTTTATTGAAAAGCTTAACATTTTGACAGACTGTCAATATGGTTTCAGAGAAAACTGATGCAGTTAACAGAAGAAATCATAGACAGTAGGGATAAAAGGAAATTTTCAATTGGTGTATTTCTTGATCTCAAGAAATCATTTGATACCATCAATCATGGCATTTTGCTAAAAAAGCTAGAAAGGTATGGAATTAGGGAGTAGCATTAAATTGGATTAGAAGCTACATTGGACAAAGGAAACAGTTTGTACAAATAGGTAATCACAAATCAGAATTATTAAATATAACTTATGGGGTTCCACAGGGATCAGTGTTGGGCCCAAAAATATTTAATTTGTATATAAATGACAATTCAAGGTATCAAACCTGCTAAAATACATTATATTTGCAGATGATACTAGCATTTTCTGCACTGGAGAAAACATACAACAACTCCCTGAGGTGGTCAGAACAGAAATAAAAAAACTAAAACATTGGTTCAAGAACGATAAATTATCCCTAAATTTAGATAAAACAAAATTCATGATATTTGGAAACCACAATAAACACGAAAACAATGCAGTCAAAATAACTATCGACAGTGTTGAGTTAGAAAGAGTCCATGAAATTAAATTTCTAGGTGTTCTATTGGATGATACATTTTGCTGGAAACCACAGATTTGCAAAGTAAAATCTAAACTTGTCAAAATGTTGCTGTTTTGTGGAGAGTTAGATTTGTTCTGGACTACAAACCTCTGTTTATTTTATATAATACTCTCATTGTACCATATCCGAGTTATTGTGTGGAAGTTTGGGGTAATGCATACAAAACAAACTTACAGTCACTGTACACATTACAAAACAAGGCAATCGGAATATTACATAAAGTGGGATATTGGGAACATACAAATCCATTATTTGTTAAATCAAATGTACTGAAATTCTGGGACCTTGTAAAATTTAAAACTATACAATTTATGTTCAAAGTAAGAAACTGTCAACTTCCACACAATGTTCATAAAATGTTTTGTGACAGAGAGGGGGTTATAATTT